ATTACACCTTATATTCTCCATTATTATCATTTTAAGCTCCAAAATTGTAAAAATAAAGGTCTTCCAATAATGAACTACTATCGTTTTACATCAAATGCAGCCTTAGGGAAGCCTCAGGCAGTTCTATCTGAGGAAGAATTGGCTGCACGAAATGCTATAAAAACAGGAGACACGATTGAATTAGCAGTGAGAGATTCATCAGGTGGGTTATCAAGAACATACATTGGAACTGTAAAGTGTTAACATTATTGAAATAAAGATTTATATAAAAGTATATACAGAAACAAAAGAAATTCGAAGAAGTATATCGTCAAAGTCAATGTCATCAAGAGTAGGCACTATAACTGAAGCTGATAAGAGAAATAAGCGTGGGATGGTTTTGCCTTTTGTTCCCCTTTCCCTCACATTTGATGAAATCAGATACTCAGTGGATATGCCTCAGGTAACTTATACCCCAAGACACGACCAACTTGTAAAATCTAGAATTCTAACATGAAATAAATATAAATTTCAAAGTTGAAGGACCAAATTGTATAAACGAAAATTTAACACCATATTTAGAGTGATTTTACAAAAAATTTCATCATTCTCATACTAATTAAATACGATGTTGTTGCAGGAAATGAAAGCTCAAGGGGTTCCAGAAGACAAGCTAGAATTGTTGAAGGGTGTTAGTGGTTGTTTTAGGCCAGGAGTTTTGACAGCTCTAATGGGGATTAGTGGTGCTGGTAAGACCACTTTAATGGACGTCTTAGCGGGTCGAAAAACGGGAGGGTACACAGAGGGAAGGATCAGTATATCCGGGTACCCAAAGAAACAAGAAACATTTGCTCGCATATCCGGATACTGTGAGCAAACCGATATTCATTCCCCACATGTCACTGTATCTGAATCCCTACAGTATTCCGCGTGGCTACGTTTGCCTCCCGAAGTTGATTCACCAACTAAAAAGGTGAAAATAATTGTAACAAAGTAAACGATGCGGATAAATGTTTTTATTTTATAATTAACTTTTATTATTTACATCTTATGATTTTCAGATGTTTATTGAGGAGGTGATGGAACTTGTGGAGCTAACTCCACTAAACAAAGCGCTTGTGGGATTGCCGGGTGTGAATGGGCTTTCAACAGAACAAAGAAAGAGACTCACAATTGCAGTTGAGTTAGTGGCAAATCCATCCATAATTTTTATGGATGAGCCGACATCTGGATTGGATGCAAGGGCGGCGGCTATAGTCATGAGAACAGTTAGAAACACTGTTGACACGGGTCGAACTGTCGTGTGTACAATACATCAGCCAAGTATTGATATTTTTGATGCTTTTGATGAGGTATATGTTTTGATTAGATAAACTTAAAGTGTTTTGTTTTCTAATGGGTTGAATGCAAGAAAAAAAAAAAAAAAAACTAAATACTGATTTTTTTAACTTGCAGCTACTTCTTTTGAAACGTGGAGGTGAAGAGATATACTTCGGTCCATTAGGCCGTCATTCTTGTCATTTGATCAAGTACTTTGAGGTGAGTACATACCAGTATTTTACATGGGTTACGAACGGCATTAACGTCTTTTGCACATATGCGAGATATGTCCCACTAAAAATTGCATTTTTTGTCCCATTGACGTCAGTCGGTCTTAAAGACTGTTTCTTTTATGGACCGAATGAACTGAAATTTGAATGTGAGTAAAATGACCATTTTACCCTTCTACGTGTATCAAAAATAACATCATGAATTAAGGACATTGATGGAGTGAGCAAAATTAAAGATGGTTATAATCCGGCAACATGGATGTTGGAGGTGACCTCAGGAGCACAGGAATCAGCTTTAGGTGTTGACTTTGCTGAAATATACAAAAACTCCGAACTATACAAGTAGGGAGATTCCACCTATCTACATTCTTATCTTGACTTTTCTTGACTTTTGGTGTTGACTTTTGTTGACTAATTTTAGGAGAAATAAAGAATTGATAAACGCAAACAGCCAACCGCCACCTGGCTCCACTGATATACATTTCCGTACACAATATTCCCAATCTTTTTGGACACAATGTATGGCATGTCTATGGAAACAACATTGGTCATATTGGCGGAACCCACCATACACTGCTGTGAGGTTTTTGTTCACAACATTTATCGCGTTGATGTTTGGGACAATCTTTTGGGACATGGGATCAAAAAGGTAAAAAAAAAAAAAAAACAAAGCTAAAAAAGGACATTGTATTAAAAATATATTTGATTCTAAGTATGGAAACGATTGGATCTATAGGGAAAAACAACAAGATCTTTTCAATGCGATGGGTTCTATGTATGCTGCTGTAACATTTATTGGAGTACAAAATGCGGTATCCGTGCAGCCAGTTGTTTCTATTGAAAGAACGGTTTTTTATAGGGAAAGAGCTGCTGGGATGTACTCAGCTTTTCCATACGCTTTTGGACAGGTAAAGTGTTGTCTGGATAAATGATGTTTTAAAAATATTTGTTACTTATAGATGTAATGTTATGCAGGTTATGATTGAGATACCATACATTTTTGTTCAAACAATTGTATACGGGATTATTGTATACGCGATGATTGGATACGAGTGGACAGTAGTGAAATTCTTTTGGCAACTCTTCTTTATGTACTTCACATTACTCTACTTCACATTTTATGGGATGATGACAGTTGCAGTCACACCTAACCACAACATCGCTGCTATAATCTCATCTGCTTTTTTTGCATTATGGAATCTTTTCTCCGGATTCATTGTTCCACGAACAGTAAGTTTTTGAGTAAATTACAAAAATAGTCCCTAAGTTTCATTTGTTTTTCAATTTTGGAACCTACTCTATCCTTTTTGCTATTTTGGTCCTAAATTAAGATGAAATGACAAATTACCCTTTGTCCAGTTTCTTTTACAAATATACTAACGGCATTTTACCATTTTACCCTTTTACCCCAGAGGATACCCATATGGTGGAGGTGGTACTACTACATATGTCCTGTTGCTTGGACACTATACGGATTGGTTGTTTCCCAATTTGGAGATGTGAAAGACAAGCTAGAATCAGGTCAAACGGTTTCAGAGTTTGTCAGCAGTTATTTTGGGTTTGACTATGACTTTTTAGGGTTTGTTGCTGTAATCAATGTCGGATTTGCTGTCCTATTTGGGTTTATTTTTGCATACTCCATAAAGGCGTTTAACTTCCAAACAAGGTAATAAAAAGATCATCAAAGCCATAAAGTCCAAACATCAACTCACTGCTCAGAAGATCACCAGAAGAAAGTATATGACACAACAGAGGATTTTTAAATTATTTTTTTTACACTATTCTATGTGGTAGAAAATATTGGTGATTAACTGAGCTTTGAATCAAGATTCAAGAGAACTAAAGAACCATTCATGCTTTTATGTATTCATATCAAGGGAAGGACAAATTTTTCAACAGTATATTGCACTACAGAAATTTTGTGCATGTTACAGTAGTTTCATATAGTGTTTGGTATAATAGAATTGAGGAAGGAATGGAATTGTTCATTTTATTGCAATGGAAAAAAAAAAAAATTTGTTTTTTTTTCTTTGTTCCATCATGGAATGGAATGAAAAATTGTTTATGTTAATACAATGTTAATAAAAGCACACCATAGAAGTGATACCTTCCACAAAACTGGAACACTTTGATGTAAATGTTAATCTTTCAAACGTGGAAGTGATATAGCTTTTGTTGCAGATGTTAGACCAGCATTGTTTTATGTAATCAATGCTATTAGCAAAATAATTAAAGTCCATATGAACTGTGGAAGTAATAGAATACCCTTTTGAATCCAAAGTCAAAAGTCAAAGTAGCTCTGTCATGGGACCTCCTATCCAGTACTAACAAAATAAATCAATAAATAAACAATAACGATCAAGAAAGCAAAGAACGGAGTTAAAGAAAACATGGCGCAACTGTAAGAGACATATCATCGAACACATAACGGGCATTATTATTTAGCTGGAGAGAGTAAACCATACCTTGAACGTCAATTTCTCCAGCCGATTAAACATTTGCTTCCATACCTTGAACGTCAATTTCTCCAGCCGATTAAACATTTGTCAAGCAAATGTGTCACGCCGAAAAATCATCCTCATTTCTCTCGATATAGAAAGATTGCTTCTTTAGTGTCTCAAAGTTTTACTCACATTGCAAGATTCCTTATGAACGAAATACTCACTTGTTTGTGGTATTAAACAGCGAGTATGACATTATAAGAGATAATATTCTTACGATGAAACCTTTTCCCTCTTTTAGCCAAGCATGCGCATTGCGGATTGAAGATGATGAACTAAAATTCTTCCTGTTGCGTCCTTGAGCAACGAAAAATTTTCTCAAAGTAAATTCTAATGGGAAGAGAAGTGTTGACTTGTATATTTTTAAACAAGTTTTTGGTGACGTGGACTCCAATCGACTTAAAAATGTTATCACAAATTAAATGAATGTTACAATTTTGGGTACCAAATGCACTACATTTGGTGTACAAAAACACACAATTTAAAAAGGTTATCACAAATTAAATGAATGTGTTACAATTTTGGGTAACAAATGCACCACATTTGGTGTACAAAAACATGATACTAGATTCAAGCAACCAAAGAAAAAAAAAATGTCAAATCGATGCTAGTTTTATAAAACTATTTGCGGTTATGAGAGGATATTCAGGTCTTTTGCAGACAGACTTCAACAAACAGCAAGGTGTGATCACCACCAACAAGCCTCTCATGTCCGAGACAACTCCAGAGTCGAATAAAATTATGCATTTTTTTTGTCTCATTGACATCGGTCTCAGTCCATATGTAACCAAAAAAAAAAACTAAGGTTTAAAGTAAGAAGACAAACAATGATCTTTTATCAAATTCGGGACTCAAAACTCCAAAACCAACAATAAACCTACGTTCGCCGCATATGTTACACTTCAACAATTAAATCCCTCTCAACATCTAACAAAAAACCATATAATTAACAAAAAAAAAAAAAAAAAAAAGACCCAAAACTCAAATCTCCAAACCATCCAAAAAGCTCTGCAATTCCTTCAACCCCTCAGCCGAAACACTCCGTTGCACTCTCCCCCTCGGCGCCACCAAGTTCCGTGGCGGCTCAGCCTGAAAACAAACCACCACCGCCGACAAATTATCGCCACTTTTTCTTTTAAGCGCCTCGTTGACCAAATCTTGACTACATAAAACCGGATCATTATGTTCTTGAAGTCTTCTCCTTGCAAAATCAACCGCATTTTGGCTCATGAAAACATCCCAAATCCCATCACAACCGATGATTAAAAACTCGTCTTCTTCTGTTAGTTTTGTGGTCATGAACTCGGGTTCAGAGCTGAGGGGGCCACCGCCACCCGTTTGGTTCTTGAGCCCGTCCATGTGCCAGTCGCCGATTGCGCGGGCCACATTGAGTTGACCGTTGAGGTAGCCGTCATACACGTATCCTCCGGAAGCTTCTATACGCTTCCGTTCTTTAATGCAGATCGGTTTGTGGTCCCGAGACATCTCGATTGCTTTGCCACGGCGGCATAAAACCGCCCGACAGTCGCCTGCGTTTGCCACCACTAAAGAGCTGCGGTTGGAGGCGTAGATAAGGGTAAAATGGTCATTTACTCACATTCAATGGTGTAATATAAAGAAATGAAAAGAAATAATAGTAGGATGTTATAATGGAGCAATTATTAACAACTAAAAAATCGAACCTCCCAATAATAAGGGCTGCCAATGCAGTTGTACCAGAAGCAAGATCTGCATCCAAAGTGCAAGCTTCAGCAAAAGCAGTGTCTGTCTGTGTGAAGGCTGCAGAAATGACCTTTTCGACCTCCATTGGGAAGTCATTATCCTCAAAAATAAATTTTGGCAAATGGTGGCATGCAAAATCGGCTGCATGTTTTCCTCCATGTCCATCGAATACCTAGAAATTTAAAAATATATATATAACAAATGCAACTTAAGAAAAGCATATTTCTATTTCTAGGGTTCTTTTTGCTCTTGAGGATGAGGAGGGCATTCACGTCTTTTACACAAATGAGAGGGAACCAAAAGATAGAACATAACATACCGCATAAAAGGCACCTGGGCCTTGAATTGGATTCTTGCCACCATAATCATGCACAAAACTGTCAGCACAGATATATACATCCTCCATGCTTCCACGAAACCCCATGTCTGCCCATGCTCCTGATCTGACAAGTGGCACAAATTCAGCCTTACAATCTTCTTGATTCATTATTTCAAGAGATGCATCTTCCATCCTTGTCCTCACCTATACATATATATAACTTCTGGTCAAACCCCATTGACTTCACACGGATAATAAAAATGTGGTTCAAATATTCAATAATACAGATTTGATAATGAATTGAGGTGAGGAGGTCATATTTTAATGTAAAACAGACAACAGTTCCCATGACCATAATTTGCAGCATCATAGATATAATTGTAAAAGTGGTCAATAGCATCTACAATGGAGTACCATAATTGCAATGGGATGCTCAACAAGTTCTCATTGCTTACTATACAAGCAAATAATTATTGGTCTGGAATAAAATAAAGCAACATTTTACCTAAACAGATCAAATCATCACCTTCCAAAATTCAGCAATGATATGACTTTCAAAATCAATGTTTTCATACTTTTGTAGGGCAAAGTACAATAGCTAGATACGTAAAATTGCTCCTAAAATTATCCAACTTTCTGAAACTGTCATAAGAATCATCCAACTTTCAAAAACCATAAAAATTCGTACTCTTACAATGGTTTTAGAGCCCATTATCAAAGTTCGGTGACAAAATTACAAATGCCACAAAAGTATGTTAATGGTGATTACTATTAGCCCTAAAATTTAATGTAGCCATGGAAAAAACAAGGGCATTTAGTTATAGTTCATCAAATCCCCAAATCTTCGAAAGTTACCAAATAATAAAAGTAAGATCTAATCTCTAAATCGCATTCAGAATTAGGAAAAAGCAAAAAATTATTCCGAATTGATGAAAAGCTTACCAGAGATGGATGACGAACGAAAGACTTCTTAATCGAGGAAGAATCCACGACGTCACCTGAGCCAATGAAGCATCGGCGAAAGCCTGGGGTGGTTGTGAGTGGATTGGGAGGTTTTCCGTCAGCTGGTGACGAGGAGCTCCCATTTTCTCCGCTATCTAAAATTACAACTTTTTTAATTCCTTCCATTGTCATCCTCAACCATCACTTCTCTTTCTTTCCAAAACTTTTTCCAAAATTAAAACCCTAGCTATTTTCAGGGTTCCTTTAACGCTGTTTCTGCTAATGTATGGCAGGAATCGGATGTAATAGATTCGAATAGTTAGATTTGGGATCTGGGGGTTCGAATTCTAGGGTTTTAGCAGGATTGTGGCGGAGGATCTCAATATAGAACAAACACCGATGTCTGTGGTGGAGACTCCGACTACGATACGAAATTGGAAGTGCCGTTGCAATAAAGGAACGGCGACGTATCGGTAACACACGTGTTTTTTTCTTTAATACACGTGTTCTACTTCTCACCTGTAAATTGCTCAGGAGTATGAACCGGGTAATCCGGTTTAGACCGGTTTCAATTATTCACCGCTATAGGGAGAGAGGCATGGACGGCAATACCGCCCCTTAGGACGGCATCCCAAAAAAAAATAACATATGCTTATTGTTTTTTTTTTTTTTTTTTTTTTATTTTTACTTTTTGTCTCCTTTGACAGTAAAACCGGTTTGAAGCGGATCAAGTCTTGAGTCAAATTCTTTTAATAAATTTCAAAAGATAATCTAAACCTATTCTGTAATTCATAGGATTTTAAATAATTAAATGCATATTTTTATCCACCAAATTAACAGATATTCAATCTATTATAATATTAAAATTACATAATGGATTCCATAAAATATTATCCAATAAATATAACATGAATCACATTTTATGTAATGTTCATTTCATCTTAATGATTTTTAATGATTTTTAATAGATTTAATAAATAATCATGAATAATTATATAATTAAAAGCCGAAGTTTATAGACTTGGCAAATGAATTAAATAAATAAAAGAGGTTATATAGACATAAGTAGGTTTAATAAAGTAGTAATAATAATAATAATATAAAGAAATCAAATTTATTAATTGTTGCATTTATAAATGGGGTTTTTTATAAGTACCCCTCATTTTTCAATCTCACCTATTTGATCTTTTGTTTTTTGTTGTTTTTTTTTCCTTTTTTGTTGTTTTTAATTCTTTTTTAATTTATATTATTCTTTTTTAATTTATATTATTATTATTATTATTATTATATGTTAATATTATTATTGTTATAAATTCCGCACCAAATTTTAACAGTCGGACGACATTATAAATTCGAACGGCTATATAAAATCGGTTTTAAATATTTTTTATATTTTAATATTAATATTATTATTGTTATTATTGTTATAAATTTCGAACAACATTTTATTAATTGGATATTATAAATTCGAACGCCAATATAAAATCGGAACAAAAGCAAAGTTTGTCCCTATTAATTACGGATATTAAGTGGTACGGTATTACAATTGCGTGGTGCGTTATACGGATTGAAAACATTTAGTCGAGCACTATATAACCGTTCGAATTTATAATGTCCGATTTATAAAATGTTGTTCGAAATTTATAACAATAACAATATTAATATTAAAATATAAAAAATTATATAGCCGTTCGAATTTATAGTGTCCGGTTTATAAAATGTTGTTCGAAATTTATAATAATAATAACAATAATAATATTAATATTAAAATATAAAAAATATTTAAAAATCGATTTTATATAGCCGTTCGAATTTATAATGTCGTCCGAATGTTAAAATTTTGTGCGAAATTTATAACAATAATAATAATAATATTAAAATATAATAATAATAATAATTATAATAATAATAATAATATAATTTGTGTTAAAAAAGAAAAAAAATGATGTCAAATCAAATGTCAAAAATTTGATTTGATTGACTTTAGGGGGGTAAATATGGATAAGGGAGGTACTTATAGCACAACCCTTATAACTAGAGGGGGTATTGTGTCATTTTGAAAAATTGTATTTTAAAAGAGTAATCAAATGTGGTAGGAATTGCTCGCATGCCCAAACATCATAGACCATTTATAGCAAGTTCTACAATCTGTCTCCTTCCTTGGTACATCGACGTAGGTCGCAGACCTACGATTTTCCCATTTTGGTTACTTCAAAATAATGTAAGGTCCCAAAAATAATAGTAAAAATTTCATTTCTCAAACAACCAAAAGATACAACCAGTTGTTTCCAAACCAATCATAGTACAAATATTATCGACATCAGAGTGAAACCATATAACAATGCGGAATAAAACCATATAACAATATGGATAAGGGAGGTACTTATAGCACAACCCTTATAACTAGAGGGGGTATTGTGCCATTTTGCAAAATTGTATTTTAAAAGAGTAATCAAATTTGGTAGGAATTGCTCGCATGCCCAAACATCATAGACCATTTATAGCAAGTTCTACAATCTGTCTCCTTCCTTGGTAGGTCGCAGACCTACGACTTTTCCCATTTTGGTTACTTCAAAATAATGTAAGGTCCCAAAAATAATAGTAAAAATTTCATTTCTCAAACAACCAAAAGATACAACCAGTTGTTTCCAAACCAATCATAGTACAAATATTATCGACATCGGAGTGAAACCATATAACAATGCGGAATAAAATCAAATGGATGTTGTACGACTAGGTCGGGCTCTTTCCTTTAGAACTGAAAGTACCTGAAAATGTTTAAACTACAAGCCGTAAACATAAAGCTTAGTGAGTTCTCCAAAATACCACATACCATACATATCAACAGGCCCAGTTGTGACAATTGGGAGTTTCTTGTCACCGATCGTCACTAGAGATTACCATCAGTCGATGATAATGATAGAACTTTTAATATTGAAGGGAAATATGATCAGTTAAATGATAATAATATGGTCAAAAATGAGTGACCAAAAAGTTATATCACTTTTTTATGATGGTTAGTGTATTTGGAAAGTACACTACAAAGTGATCCCAAAGATATAAGCATTGCGAAAAATCTAACTCCAATTGGAGGAGTTATGATTTTATAAAGGATAAAAACCAATCGTGCTAATAACGCTATTAATGTCAAAATATCATAAAGAAATCGGTTGATTTTCGGCTAATGTCACTAAAAGGAAAATCGTAGTACTCTGAGAGATAAGGACTTCGAAAGGAAAAATGTCAAAAAGGGATATCGTATGAAGGAGATTAGGGAGACGTGGATCATCAGAAGTGTGACACGTGACAAGCTCTGGATGGAGCCATGAAGCAAGTGCACAACGCGCGTGAAGTGTGCCGCACGCACAACCCCTATAAATAGATGTGTTAACTTTCTGATTTTCTCATCCCAAACACTCTCTATCACACCCCCGAACCGGGATGGCGAAAACGTCCGGGGGCGGATGACTTCATCTTGTAATATCATAACAGTTTATTATAAATGAGACATAGCAACCAAACATCATACATTCCAGATACCAACATGCATTGTTTACAACTTTGTATTTGTTCATGATGTTACATCCAAAAATAACACAATGTATGATATTTCAAAAATACAACAATTATCCAAAAATCCATAGCTGCAGAACCTGCTTACTGAGTCCCTGAGAATACAAGTCGTTTGGAAAAGCGTCAACATAGAATGTTGGTGAGTTCATAAGCATATTTGTAAGAAAACTTTGTAACATCTTTGTTTATAATAGGTTGTAAACTCCATAAATCCAATATTTTCTATAAAAGTAGTTTGTGAGTCTTGTTCCAAAATCGTGTGTATTTGCATGCATGTTCTTTGTTTTCCTTTGTTTGTAGTTGAAAAGAGTATGACCCCAGAAAATCCTATATTTTCTGTATATAAAAGTGTGGTTGTAACATTCCAATTTTCAAGACCAAAAATTTTGTTTTTAATTATGTTACTTATAAAACCGTTTACTGAAAAACATCATCAATATCATATTAAACCATAAAACCATAATCACATGTCTCAAAATCATAACATCAATAGTAATATTATCAGAGTACAATCCCATGGATCTCAAAAATGCGGCAATCTGTAACATCCATAAATTTTACGCCAAATTTAAACTTTTAAAATCATAAATAAAAGTCAAATAGTATCGTTTACAAAAATGTTTTCAAATCAATATCTATCAGAGTGTCCCAAAAATATAACATAAGGATGAGGAGCAGTATGGTCACGCCTTCGCCTTGCCATGATCTCCTGAAGTACCTGAAACCATAAACTGAAAACTGTAAGCCTGAGGGGCTTAGTGAGCTATACCCAAAATACCAATACCACACTGACAATGCTATATCAATAACAATCAATCAATCAACATGCATACTGGCCATCGGCCTGACTGGACCGCCCTACCGGGCCTACAGTCTATCTGAATCTATCCCCAGCCTTCGGCATGACTGGTCCGCCTCGTGGGCCTGCAGGCTCCCCAGACCGCTCATAGGGTATGTTGGCCTTCAGCACAAAGCAGGACCGCCTCAACCCAACCAACAAGCAAATAACCATGTGCGCATAACTATCATATACTGGCATATACAAACATCAAACATATCTATCACACTGATCATCAATCATAGAATCCTCTCGTAACTAGAGTACCGACCTAGCAGGTCACTAACATACCAATCCTTATGGATCATAAGAGCATAACATACTGTCTACCCTGATTCCGATCTAGCAGATCATAACTAGAGTGCCGTAGACCCTATCGATATAGTGAGGATAACTCACCTTGCAAATGTCGACTCGGAAGATAAACCCCAACTCTCGGATCACTTGACACAGGCTCCACCACCTATGATCATAGTACAATATACTCATAAGTCCTTAACCTTATAAGGTACTCCATAACCCACCAGTCAACCCCTGGTCAAAGTCAAAGTCCTCAGTCAAGGTCAACAGTCCATGTTGACCCCAACTCGCCGAGTACCCTCGGCTACTCGCCGAGTTCCTTGAAGCATAATCCAACTCGCCGAGTCATCGGGGGGTGACTCGTCGAGTTGCTTCGATTCTCGTTCAAACTTTAAAGCCACCCGTCGAGTTCCCTCCTTGCAACTCGACGGATACACACGCGTACATATCCTAGGGAAAACTCATCCGACTCGCCGAGTTGTTCTTCAACTCGCCGAGTTGTTCATCCAACTCGTCGAGTCCACGGCTATCTTCATGTGACTCGTCGAGTCAATCTTGCGACTCGCCGAGTCCATTCAGTCCTTTTTCCATACAGACTTGTTTTGAGCCATGCAGCGGCTCCAAATCACAGATCCAAGCTTCTAGGGCATGCTTATCACGTAAAGTTGCAAACTTTACGTGCATGCATGGCTATAAAGGCTCTAAATGCCTATTTTAAGTTCTTAATGGAACTTCATGCTCAAGAGGGAC